TTGTTGTTGTTGTATGCAGTTTCCAGCAAACTTTAATTAATTTTTTTCTATTTGTGAAAATTTCTACGTTATTTAAAGGTAATTTTTATTATAGGCCTATAGACCTTACACAGCATTATTAATATGATTTTGGAGGTTACAGAACTTTAAAATTACTTTAAAAAATGGAAAATAATTATATCATTTGATTTCAAGATATTTTGTATACCTTAAAAATAATTAATTCTATCCCGGGATTTCCCGGGATCCCAGGAAACAGTTCACTTTTATCCCGGGATCCCGGGACAAGCAAAAGACCGGGAAATGAGAAACCCTAGTATTGTACAAAGTGTGGACAGACTCACAGTATGGCACACCAAGTTTAAGCTTACATTTCCACAAGAAATTGATTTATGTTAATTTTTATTTAAAGTATTATTTCTTTGCTTTTTCTACTAGTTGCTTGAGTTCCAATTAACAGAGAGCCTCTGTATAATTTATTGTTTATATAAATGTATCATATTGTGTTCTGTTAAAAATACCAGACCACAAAATATAGTAAATCTGCTTAAAATAGTCTTGGTTATATAAAATATATTGTTTAAAAAAATAATAATAATTTATATTGAAATGCAATACAAAACAATATAACAAAGTGAAAATATTACAATAGAATACATATTAAAAAGATGAAAATAAAACATTTTCAATTTGATAAAATATAAATGAAAATGAATGTCACAGAAGTCATTAATTTTTAAATCTAAGACATTTTTGGAAAGTCTTTCGATTTTCAGCTCCTTAATATTAAAAAGTTTTCTTAACTTGGTTATGCACATTAATGTGGAAATGTATACAGTTGATACAAATTAAATTGAAACAAAAATATGCATTAATTCTTTTTACCTCTATGTTCTTACTCTTTTAAATTTCTGTGTATATACTGTCTACTTGGACCTTGTTTATTAATAGGACTTATTATACTGGTGTAGTTTCTGATTGGCAAATAGAGATCATCTTGGTCAAAAGTCAAAACAAAGTATCAAGTGAAAATAAAAATATTTTTTTTTACTTTTGACTAAGATCTCTTCTATTTGCTAATCAGAAACTATACCAGTATAATCAGAAACTACAACAGTATGATAAGTCCTATTAATATACAAGGTCCGAGTAGACAGGATATACACAGAAATTTATGAAATATTCGTATTAGTACCTCTTCTTTAGATCATCTAAGTTTTCTAAAATATCACCAGAATAATTTGAATATACACAGAAGCTTGACTAATAACAACTCAATTATAACATGACTGTACTATATGAAAATGTAAAACTCAAATTTTAAACCTTCATTTCAATTACAACTCACTACAGATTACTATATATTTCACGATATCATTAAATAAACACAGTTCATTAAAATATTTCATTTAGAACTGTTTTTAAAATATTTTGTAAAAAAAGAAGATAATATTTCAAACATAATCAATGAATATCTCATCTTTTCTAAAATAATTTACTTAGTTTTTTCCTTTTTGATTATACTATGAACTACATTTTTGTCTTCCCATAATATTACAAAAACTTTTATCATAGAACATATTACAGAAAAGTATATTAAAAAAATGAATAAAACTCCAAATTTCATAATTAAAAAAACTTAAAAATCTGCTTTATTTATTAGGGGCAGTCAAATGAAAATGAGACAGACTATATAACAAGTGTGGCATGGAAATTGGTAATGCAAATAGGTGTGTATATAGAAGTGCCCTCTATTGGAAATCGGGAAGGAACAGCACGAACGTTCACCGCTGTGCCATTTGTCTGTTAGACACGCTCGAAGCGAGGTCGGCGAATCGCGTGTGCGTCCAACATCACTATGGAGGTCCGCCGCTCGTCGACTTTCTGGAACACGGCGCCCCAATTAACACACAGCAGTACATAGAAACTTTACAAAAATTGAAGTGTGCCATCAAATCCAAACACCCAGGAGTGTTGACAGACAGCATCATTCTGTTGCAGGATAGTGCCCACCCACATGTTACCAAGGTTGTTTTGACTATGCTGCAGAAGTTTAGCTGGGAACTTCTGCAGCGTAGTCCATACACATCTCCATACAGTCCCGATTTCTCCTCGTGCGATTTCCATATTTTTGGAGTCCCAAAGAAAGACATTCGTGGCCGTCAATTTGCTTCGGACGAAGAGGTACACGCCTGGGTACAATCACGGTTCCGTAGGCAACCGCAAACATTTTTCTACGAAGGTATTGACCATCTTGTCTCACAGTGGGATAAATGTATTAACAGTTATAGCAATTACTTTTGAAATAATAAACAGTTTACTTACTTTTTCTCCATCTGTCTCGTTTTCATTTGACTGCCCCTAAACATTGAGAATCAGGAAATGATTCTCAACATAAATTAGTGAACTTCAATAAAGTAATTTTTAAGTTTATTGAAAAATATGTATTTTCTGTCTCAGGGTAATGAATATAATAAGACTGTAGCTTATTATATAATATAATACATTTTTTTCAAATGAATTTATTGTTATTACTGTTCAAAAGAACTGAAAATATTTAGATAAAAATTTCTAATTATTATTTTTTGAAGTATAAATTGGTAAATAAGCACTTGTACAAATTATGAATTAGATAACCTTATCCCACTGACATAATTTTTCTTGTAAAACCTATTCTAGTGAGCATGATTGTTTACTACATGTTTATATAAACTGTTACAAAAGTTAATGTTGTAATAAATAATCATATTTACTATATTATACACAATAACTGAAAGAAATTATGTTAACGTGTAATATGATAATTAATACCTAAATTACTGGAGTATGAATGGATCCAAAGCTAGAACTAGAAGTTATACAAGTACATTTAAACAGTAGATTATGTAATTAAGCTGAGATGACATTCATGTAATTAACATTAATTTTACATTACATAATTTAATAAATACATTTAAATCATACATCACAGTTTTCCAATTCCTTCTTAATAGAATAATGAAGTTCATTAAAAGCTTGCTGGGTAGTCAATCCGTAGAATTTGTTAATGGACATCTTTAGACAAAATAATAAGTGTTAAGTAATACTGAATTACAATAAAGAATAATTTTAAAATGTCCTTTCATCCTTAATTGAATTCATTTTATGAAAACATAAATGAAAATATTTCGCAATAATAAAACATCGCGTATCGATCCAACCGCAACCATGAACTTCAACAGAAGCGAGTCAAGCGACACCACGTGCTTATACCACAACCGAATAATTAAAACTAATAAACAACGCCTTCAGCGTTGCCAGATGTGAAAAAATCTTTTTGGGTTGAAAAGTTTTATGATGCTGGCGTGTAAAAATGACATAAAAAGATACAGTGTTTCGACAAAACGGATACGTCTATAACTATCGACTCGAAATTAATACAAATTTATTGTATAACATTTTTCCCCAGTGGACACTTAGATGACCTTTCAGCAAGTTATGAGTTCTGCCAGGACCACGATGAAATGGTCGGGGATGAGGGGCGGCTACCAACATATCCGGATAGACCATTCCCGAAACATTCCTGCAGTTATTTCCACCCGTCCGGTTTCCATCTCTGATCCTCCAAAACACCGGCCGGATGGCCGAGCGGTCAAGGTAGCAGCCTACCGCTATGGGGGACCCGGGATCGAATCCGGACGGGTCAAGGAATCCCCAGGAATTTTTCGGGAAGGTGGTCCGTTTGGATATGTCGGACCCCGTCCCTCACCACCCGGTCGCCCCATTGTGGGTCTGGCCGAACCCATAATGGGCCCGCTATAAGAGGCCTTCTTAGTGCCCACAGGGCGGAAGAGTATTAAAAAAAAAAAAAAAAAAAAAAGATCCTCCAGAACGGAACGCTACCACTTTAGCCGCTCGGCCATCCGGCCGTCCGATGTTTTATGAATGCGAAGAGTCACTTTTTGTAAGTCCATCATTAGTTTAGTCCAAAATGTGCTCATTCGGACAGTTTTGAGTTCGGCTTGTGATGTTCTAGCGATACCATCGAGCGCGTTTCGCACTATTCTTAAGCGAGTGGTAACATAGTTTGATATTTATTATTTTAGATCAGCGATTCCCAACCTGTGGTACGTGTACCCCTAGGGGTACGCGATAGGTTGTTTAGGGGTACAGAAAAAAGTTAGTTATTATGGCAGAAAAAATAATATATTATGTATCACAAACTAATAGTATTAAAAAATTATTACATAAAAAATGTTCCTTGCAACAATCACAACTTTATTATACATTTTTTCTTTTAGGTTTTTTTTCTTTAATTTAAAGTTACAATATGTAAAATTAACAATACGGTTACTCACTAAATTTCTTAAATGAGGGGTACAATCTAGAGATATGACATGTCACGGGGTACGC